TTTTTTGGATAAATACTTCGATTGTATATTTATAAAGCCCGGACATTAAAGTTATTTGAGAAGGTCAGGTTTAAATTAAATTTTGTATCCCAATAGAATTGAATTTGTAGTTCTCCGTTGAAGCAGCTAAAAATCCGGTAAACTTTGCCAAAGCCTTGATAATCAGTGAGCTAGTAGATCGGTATCGAAGTTGTTCTTACCTTTGTAAGGTCTTTCAAAGTTTTTATTGTGAGAATCTGGTTTTAATGTTTGTGTGCACCCCACTCCAGAATTTACTCTAATTTAGCTGTGATGTTTGCTCTCAGTTACGGATTTCTTCACGGACAATTTGTTAGCCTTAAAGATGACTGCTTTGATTATTTCCAAGTAGAAAATGTATTTAAATTATTTTAAATTAATATGGTCGTTATTTTATTAGAGCGAGTTTGGGATCTTTGAAGAAAAATAAATTGAAGGTATAAATGATACAAAATGCTGTTGAGCTGTCTTGAAAATTGCGGTTTTGATGAAACTTACCTTCGTTAGAACATAGTGACTTTGTAAGCTTCTAAAGCCCCGTGCAAATGCACTGGATTTGTCCAATGTACACGCTCTCAACATGTTGAGCTCAACAAGTTGAGCGCATTTGAACACCCTGTTGAGAGGTGTTGAGTCTTGTTGAATCAAATTTGAAACTGGTCAAACTTTTCGCTCAACACGGCTCAACATTTCCTTTGTTTCGCGGTCATCCATGCGTGGCTCAACAAAGTCGAGTGCATTTGTACAGCAACGCTGAACATGTTGAGCCCACGCACGCGCAGTGCCCAGCGCATCCGTTGGGAGTTTTAACATACCGAACATTTTACAAGATGGCGTCGCAGCGGTTAGAAGTTCTACGGGAAAATTCAAATGCAAAAAAAATTCTAAACGAGGAAATACAAGAAAATTGACGGAGGGATTTAATTTCTGTGACTAGCTAATACTGGTTTTGCCTTTTCCCTCAGTAGATTCGCTTTACTTGCTTGAAGCTAGCCTTACAATTGTTGCTTTTTTTACCAGTTTCCCGGGTATTTTACCCAATGATTTAAACCTTCCTTCGCTTGAACAAGAAAACATGACTGTAACACGATCTATTTTCCGGAAATTCTGATATAGTTAAGAGGAAGCTTGACATGACGGGAAGTGACTTAATCATCTCCTACGGAGACTACTTTACTTGCGAACCTTTTATGATCTAAAGTCCCATTTATTTGAGCAAATTATCAGGGTTTGTAGATATGATGGTTTCTCCAGTGGGCGATGGGAAAATAAAATGGAAGGAGTCAAAATATTTTGAAACAGTGTGCTCAGATCACATTTTGTAGCGGTTTTTTTCAACCTTGGAAGCTTCCTGGCCACTAATAATAATAACTATTATAATCTGATGCTAAACGGTAGCATATGAAACCCGATTAAACAAAACAACATTAAAAACCCTTGGTCATTTGGGCTTCATCGGCTCAGGGAAAATCTTAAATGGAATGTTGCTTTAATTATTTTGATTAAAAAAATAAATGCCTGGCCAAAAGAGGAGACATGTTTAGAAACTGTCTCCATGTCGCGCGGAAACACAAAATGTAAGAATTCTCGAAAGGCATGCCCGAAGGTAGAAAGTGATCTAGAGAAATACTATTATCAGTACTGTTTGACATTCAGAGCTACTACTAGAGCTTGTTAGATCTGTAAGGCCGTAATTGGTTAGATTCTAGAAGCCTCCAAATAAATAAAGCTTCATTTCGTTGAAGTTTTTTTCAGTCAATCAGCGGGAAACCCAGTTTGCCGATCATCGAAACCGTGACCGAAGCGCAAAATGCATGTTAGACCGAATGTCACGTTATTTACATTTCATAAGAACTATATGACCAAAAAGAAAAACATACCTTCCATTTTAGCGTCGGGTTAGAAAGAGATGGAAAACTTTAGATCGCGGGCTTTGGATCTAGTACACCTCCTAGAGAGCTCTTGAAGTTCCTTGAGCATCCACCCTGGCTGACTCACGCGAAGCTACGTGACGTAATTTGGCATCAAGCAGGGTACAGTTGGCTGTAAGATGCTGGGAATGGTTGAACGGCCCTAGCTTTGCACCTTTTGTTCTGTTTTGGAGGTATCAGCCAAATTATTAGCTATTACTTGGCGCTAAACAACGCTTAATAAAAGAGAGATTCTGGCTTGCAGAAAATTTACGAAGTATTCGAAGTGCTCGCTGCTTGCCATCTGTATTTTACTAGAGTGCTCGCTGCTCGCCATCTGTATCTTCTAAAGCGCTCGATGCTCGCAAGAAAAATTTGAGAACTGCTCGTGCTCGCAAAAATAAACACAGTGCTCGTGCTCGCAAAAATAAACACACTGCTCGCATGCTCACAAGTGCTCGCAAAGACCATTCGATACTCCTACTATTGCCTAAACAGCCAACAAAAAAAAGAACCCGTGTATATTTTTTTTCCGTTTGTTTCAACAATTTAAACTATTTCCACCGTGAGGGATTTTTTGTTAAATAAGAATAAAAAATACCGTCCTATTCGAACAATTTCATAGAAATAATTAACAAATCGGAAAGATTGTGACATATAGGTCTGGGCATCTTCCTTCAAAAATCAATTTTATCACTCAAGAAAGGCGGTCGAAAGTTCATGTGTAATACAACTGGAAAAAAGACAAGACATTTCTAAAATGGATTTTGAATATTAGAGTCATTTCAAGGTAATATTACTGGTCTTTGTCGCCCAGTTCTATTTGAAGAAAAAAAAAAAAAAACTGCCAGCCTGCAGTACCCATGTTTTATCAATTTTTATCTCTTCACTTATATTTAGAAAATGTTGATGTCGACGAAACGCACCTTTTTTGGGGGGAGACATGATACTCACGTCAGAGCGGCGTATGGTAGCTGAGAAACTGCTGTATGTAGACAATCCTTCTGATAGAGGTTCGATCTAAACTAGACTGTGGCCCAATGGCGTAATGTTTTATGAGATCGACCCCAGTCTCTGTAAGTATTTGGATCTGACCTTGTTTTCAAATTGATAACAATACTATGCACTAAAACATTGGAGAGCGTTAAAGGCACGCTTTGATATCCACTACTTGCCACTTCCACTTCGGTTTTAAATATTACCATTGTGCAAGAAGCGAGATATACTTTGCTGTGAAGGAGCATGGGGGGAGGGGGTGGGGGGAAACATGCATTTCCATAGATTGCGTATTCAAGAACAATTCCATCGAGTGCTTAGGGCACGAGTAAGAACTAAACAAGGTATTAATATTTAGAGGCACGAAATTGCTTCTTCCTCCGCCTTCCTGAAATCTCATTCATATATCAAATAATGGCAAAATCTTGAATCTTTGTTAATAAAAGATGAGCAGAGGTTTATGACAGAGACTGCTTCCGCATAGTTGAAAAGAAAATGGCAGGATTAGACACCTCCCCTTAGAAAAAGAAAATACTGACTCCGCATTTCAAATGTTCGCAGTTTTTTTATTCGTCCAATGTGTGTATGTTTTTCTTTCCTTTTTTCGAAGCTGGAGATTCTCAAGCTATGGCGGCCATCATGGCTACCATGTATCCGGTTCAAGAGAAGAACAGTATTATATTATGAATGTTTCACAAAGGGCAGAGGGTACGGAATTTTGTTGACCTATGAGCCATTTTTGCTTAAGCTGTGTCGTGTTAGACTCACAAACAAGAAAAAATAGCTTTGCCATCGCGCAGCTTAATTAAGAGAAAGAAACTGGCTATTAAAGGCGAACCAATTCGCTGCAACGTCCTTGCATTAGTTTTAACGGGCGGCCGCGCACGGGATTGCCAAGTGATTTATGTGCAGCATTAAGGCTGCCATAGAAGCGGTATTGTAATTCAGTGTGACTTCATATTCAGTTGATTTGGTCTGAACCCAATTTTATGAAAGCACCGATTAAAAGTTATAAGGGGGGAGGGGTAGGTGATAAGGATTGCAGGAGATTCAAATTATTTTTGGAAACTGAAATGGGAACATTTCATTTTCTATGGGAAGCTATTTCGCATTAATTTGTCGGCATACATTTTCAGAATAATTTACAGTGAGCTTTGAACTTATTTATCCTTTTTTTCAATTTTTTTTGGCCGCACCCTGCAGTCACGTTTTCAATGGTCTATCCTTAATTCACAATGAGAGTTTCAATATGTACCAAATTTAAATATAATGTTTACTTGAAACACCTTCATCTGAAAAGTTCTGAAAAATTTTTCCGTCATCAAATCTTTTATTAAGGGCTTATCATACGTTGGAAGAACAGAGGGTCGTCAGGATATAACTCTGGATAGAGGGTGCTGGCATAGAATACCCTCTCATATTAATGGTTCGCCCGCTTCTCCCTTGGGCCATAGATCCGAGCGGAAAAAACAGACCACGAACTTTGTCTGTAAGAGGTCTTTAAAATGGCTGATCTCTGGGGAAATTCAGGAATTTTTTGTCTCTAGCCGCCATCACCCAACCTTCTTTTCTATGAAACTCGTTCAGCGCAGCTTCATATTATAATGAGTGTAATGCATTACCAGAGCGAGGTAAATAACTTCTTTCGTCATCCGTCAATATATTTTCCACAGCACGCTATTGGTTTGAACGCCCCACATGATCTGATTTCTCCCAGCTCATTCCATCAGAAATGTTCACTTACACGCGTTTGTTTTTGAAGCGTCAAGAGACGTGCCATGCCTCGGCTAAAACTAAAGAATATCAGTTGATATTTAAGTTGCCGAAAATGAATTAACCTACCTAACAATTTTATCGGACCCTAAACAGAAATAAGCCGGTTAGTGAAGCACCAGGTCATAAAGAAAACTGTAGCTTTAATCCTAAAATATATACAGCGTCACTCATAACCAGACACTCAAATATGAAACGTCTTTACGTCCCGTAAAATCGATTAAAATTTCTTTTGGGTGTAATCTTTCATTGCTTTACTTGTAATTGCATACACGTACATTGCAAGAGATGAAACAACGGTTATGCTTTTACAATCTTTATTCTCCCATCCATTTGTTTCACTCTATTCTACAAAAGTCAAGCGGTTTACTTCCAGGTAGGAGATCCTGCGGGGAAAAAAAAAACTTAGTTAGTTTACGAAGAACAAAAACTGCAAACTGCCACCACCCACATCCCTCGACATCAGAGACCAAGGTTAACCCTAAATTACGCAATCAATCTTTTAGTTTTAGATATCTATCCGGAGACAGAGAGGAATAAGTAAGAATAAAACCTGTGATCGTACTATCGACTGTTCGACTGAGATTATTTGTCGCGAGACCGTTCACGACAGAGTTCGTATTTAACTGAGAAATGATTGTATTAGGCTCTGATATACTTCCTATGACAAGGCGAGCTTTTCTTCCTAACGATTCGGAGATGAAGTCCTGAAAACAAGTACATCTTAAGGGCTTCCCACCGAAAAATAATTCGGTAAAGACATGAAAATGGTAAACACCACAGCGTACACTATTGAGTTATGGATGCACGCTGGAGGTTGGTTGATGTCATGACGTGGAATATATCCACCTTTATTTCCTGATAAAAAAGGTGATGAACTATGGTTAGCCAAATGTTGCGAAATTCAACAACTTTCATATTTATATTCAATAACTTATATTTATGCTCAACAAAATATATTTTTATTCAACAGTTTACAGTTATATTCAACATTATATATTTATGTTCAACGACACGCATTTTCTTTTCATATCCAACCAAAATTATTTTCATTCAACAACAATATTTATTCAACTTCAATGGCTATTTATTTATGAACGACGCATGTAAATTTCACATCGCAAGAGCAATACCTCTTTTGTTTTGGCGCAAAGGTTGAAACAGACTTTGGACATTTTGACACCAGGTATAGTGCTTTCATTTTGTCATCTATTTTTTTTTCTGTCAACAACTTCAGTTTTACAAAGACTACACTTTCATCCCTACAAGCATGTTTCGTGCTTGTAGGGATAAAAGTATAGTCTTTATATTTTTCTAACTCAACACACACACACAGACACACACACACACACACACACACAGACATACAGACACACACGGACACACACATAACTAACTGCAGACAGTACTGCTTCGGTATTCTGAGCTTTATCAGTGCCGTGCCGACTCTAGGATGGAGGTGAAGTTATAAAGCCATCCCACGTGATTCCACATTTCTGGTATCATATATATGTATACATATAAATTACACCATTCACTCTAGACTTTCCTGTAACTCTAAAAATGTGATTTACTTGGCTTCCTGTAAGAAATGTCGCCTGCAATACGTGGGATCTACCACCACCGACTTTAAAGTGAGATTCCGAAGTCACAGATCTACTATGCTCACAAACAAAACAACTTGTGAAGTAGCGATACACTTGAACAAAACCCGATACACCCTGGACGATTTTTCGTTCCAATGCATTGATCAGGTACAGGCCCCTAGTGGCTCTGCAGATATCGATAGGCTTTTAATCACAAAAGAGGCTTATTGGAGTGCTCAGTTGTTCTCTTTGGCACCCCATGGTTTGAATAAAAGAAAGGAATTTCATTCGAAAAATAGAATTTGCTATAATTAATTTTCCATCTTATATTAGGCGCTACTAATTGATCGTTCAAAGGCCCTTTTCTTGGATTTTGTCGGCCCTTTAGGTGTGGATTGGACTCAGAGGCCCTGCCAAGGGATCTTATTATGATTAGTATCATTTAAGGGCCCCTCCAGGGATTTTGTTGCTAATTTGCCCTTTCGGGCTCCAAAGGCCTTGTTTTGGGATTTTGTTACGGTTTACAGTTGTAGT